AAGATGAAAAACTATGTGTTGTAAAGGATAGTTTGATGCGGAAAGTTATGGTCGCCCACATATTGATGTGACCTCTCACAGAGAAGATAAAAGAAAAAAAAAACAGAATTGCCTCTTTGTGTCTTTTCTATAGATACGTTCATGATAATTGCTCGGATGAGCTCTACGCTTCGGAGATTGAACTTAGGCAACCCTGCCCGAAATTACGCTAGTTTTAGGGTTGTTTTTGTATCTTTAGATTATTCATTCTACTTAACTTAGCTAAGTGATATATGCTCATTGGCCTCTTTTTATTTCTGCCCTCATTTTCTTTCATCCCTTCCCTCGTTAGGTGGTGAGTGATGTCAATTCTCTGGCGGATGCGGGGCGCCTTTCGTTTCGGGAGTTTTTCGTGTCTGAATGACTGTGTGTTTTGAGTGAGTGCATATGGCGAATGAATGTTTTATATTATTAAAGTCCCGTATTGATTTTGTCCAGTTAACTAACGTTTCTTCTACATTCAAGCCTTGTCGGTGGTGTTATTACTAAATTTGTTTTATTTGGTTTCTTGTAAATAGATTTGTTTTCTTATTGTAAATACTCATTTGGGTTAGTTTTTAAATTGTTGTTTTATTCCTCCCCACAGACAATGAATTATACATATGGGGACTAGTTAGGACTTTCATAGAGACAATGTGATATTATGTTGGATGTAGTAAGAAAGTTAAGTAAGAATGCGTTGTTTTGTTGTTAGGAATATTGTGGTATGTTTGGGTCGGTATTTGTGGCTAGCTAAGTTTTAAGTTAAGACTTATGAAGACCGCCATTTTACGCATCCCATATTTTGGGCTTGTGCTGCATTTGTAAATAATTACAAATACTTATCGCTCTTCGCTGTGGTACCTAGACTTTCTGAATTTAAGCGCAATACTAGATTTGCATCTAAATCTCATCAATTTACTGTTGAGCTGGATAAATATAGCAGTAAATTATATGTTAACAGTTACTTTTCTCGAACTTCAAGCCTGAGGAACTCCCTTCCGGTTCCATTCTCCTCCCCCCACTTTAATCTGCAAAGATCTAAATGCAATGTCACTCGCTATCTACTGTCCATCTGATTAATCTTCCCGCTAATTATTAATGTTTTGACTCCTAATTCTTCGACGACCTGTAAACTGTTGCCTCTTAGTGTCTTTACTGCTCTGCATGGAGTGATGCTGATTAAAAAAAACAAAACAAAAAACTCCAAAATGTTCCGATCAGATTTTTCTATCATTTTCTGTGAGCTGACATGCGTTCTTGGAAAAAGGTATGGGATGATTTCCTGTTTTCCTCTCTTGCGTTTGGTATTCAGCATTTACATTCTCTTGGACTAAGTGCTAACCAAAAAGGTAAAAGCAATGGACACTAAAAAGTTAGAGCAAGGTAATTAGTAGGAAAATGAATCTAAAGAGACTATTTCTTTATCAGAACTCAGCTCGTAGGCATTTGCCAATTTTAGTCATTATACAGCCCTATACTCAATGTAGTTGTAATTTACTCTCATAATATTCGAATCATATATATATATATATATATATATATATATATATATATATATATATATATATATATATATATATTCCATGGTTATAATTTATTATATTGGAATCGTAATCACAATCCAATTCATCAGACCTAAAAATTCAAAAGAAATAGGAAAATTTACGATTCCAATATAATAAATTATAACCATGAAATATTAGTGTTTGAGCCTTTATATATATATATATATATATATATATATATATATATATATATATATATATATATATGTGTGTGTGTGTGTAGTTAGGTAGCATATCTTCATTCATACATGTTTCATTGAATAATATATAAAATATTGTATGTACTTATTTTTATATTGATCCTTTCTATTTGTCTAATCAGTTTCTTGATATTAAGATGAAATCCATCAAGGATCTCGCCGTAGTTTATTTTTAAGAAAAGTATTTTCGATCATTTTTTCAAGACAAACCTATTTTAACTGCGATAAAATCTGCATTCCTTTCTGATGTTGATTTTTAAAAAGGTGCGCTAACGCGCTCTATTATAGCTATTTAAAAATTTAATTTTTTTTTTAAATATGATATTGGTATAACTAAAATTTTAAAACTACATCGTTTTCTATTATTCTTGGTTGTAGGGCCAATATCACATTGAAACGCGGGTTCCTTTACGATTATTTAAGTTACGAACCTGGACAGGGATAACCACTTGAGAATACCAGCCTGGATATGCGGTTGGTGTAATGGGCAACAGCTCGGAATTGTAAATCGGAGAGCCGAATTCAAGTTCATATCGTGTCCATTATAATTAATTTCACACAAAATAACCTTTGAGAAAGTTACATCTTCCCCCCATTAATGGGTAAACTAGTTGCATTTGTTATGGCTAGGTGGCCAAGTTTTCGGACCATGAGACCCGGGTTCGAATTTTACCATGGTCAATTTCCCAGGAAGGTGACAATGTTATCGATCTGGAGGAGGGGATCCCACCGTGCGGTACCTTGGGAAACTGACTGAAGACCATATCACTTGTTCTTTCAAAATTGGGCCGAGTGATCCTTTGGCAGGAGTCGGTGGTTGCGTTAGCACGAAGTTAAACTCATCGTGTCCGAGGATTTGAGCGTGCAAGACTTGTTCAGACTGCTGATCACGCTAGATAACGCGCTCTCTCCCAGACTCTGTAACTAAGAACCGCTCAGCATAGTTGCAGAATAAACCAAAGGAGGTGGGGTCTGTGGGTGTTGAACAAAAACAAATGTGCCTGACCAGGCGTTTCAATGGGGTTTAGCCAGCCGCCCTAGTAGACTGGAATCCTCGGATTTGTGTCGTTGTGCCAATTACTTTTATATTTAATAGGATCTGTATCAGTATATTTTTACTATCTTAAAAAATGTCTTAAAAACTACAAATATTCTCTGATTTTTAAATAACCTATAAAAGTTTCATAAGCATTAGTAAAACGAATAAATCGTATTTAGCAGTTGCTTCGGTATTGAAAGAATATTTGAGGTCTGGCCAAATTAATTTGTTACCGTAAAAAATATTAAATATTTAACAGTAGAATTCATATAATAAAACGCACTCAAAATAATGAATAAAACTAGATTTTGACTTTATTTAGGTTGTTACTAAAAATTAATAAATAATGGATGATTTAAGAATTCATTCTTTTTCATTTATGTGCCGTGTCTCTTTATTACGTAAGCAATCATGGCTTTATATTACACACCCCATCCTTTATAGTTCTCAACATGCTTTGTCCTTTTGCTAATTCTCCCAAACCCTGTTCCGTTATCCGCTTGCTTAACCCGGGTATGTATGTTAAACATAACATTCCCTTGTCTCGTTTTACTTCAATCCTCCATGTGAGAATCAGATTCTCCAAACCATCCTTTCTCATTATGTGTCCCCCAAAAAATTTAGCTGCCTCTTTCTGGTGTTAAGCATAATCTTTCCTCTTTGCTTGCATCTTCTCCAAATCCTCATCGTTGCTCACATGTTCGAGCCATGGTATCTTTAGCATCCTTCTGTAGAACCATATTTCCGTTGTTTCGAATCTCTTCTTCATTTATAATTCATCTTGGTTACCTCGTCATCCTATAAGGACCGACTCACTGTCAAAGGTTGAGTTTATTACCATCCTATACTGTGTTTATTACCATCCTTTCTCATTATGTGTCCCCAAAAAATTTAGCTGCCTCTTACTGGTGTTAAGCATAATCTTTCCTCCTTGCTTGCATCTTCTCCAAATCCTCATCGTTGCTCACATGTTCGAGCCATGGTATCTTTAGCATCCTTCTGTAGAACCATATTTCCGTTGTTTCGAATCTCTTCTTCATTTATAATTCATCTTGGTTACCTCGTCATCCTATAAGGACCGTCATATTTCCGTTGTTTCGAATCTCTTCTTCATCTTTAAGGTGACCGTCCAACATTCGCTGCCGTAAAAGAGGACAGATATCACATAGTAATTCATTACTCTTTTTGTTGTTACCAACGAAATCCTTCTGTTTTTTAATACTCTGCTTAGCTTTTGGAATGCATCCTTGGCCATCCGAATACGTCTTCGGATCTCAGCGTCGCAGTTGCCGTCCTCGGTTAGGACACTTCCCGGATATTTAAATTTCTGCACCTGCTTGATTTTTGTGTCTCAGACATGTAAATCGCATTTCGAATTCGACTTTTTACTGATGACCATGCATTCTGTCTTCTTGTAGTATGTGCTTCCTCACTTGTTATCGCTCTACTTCGCTATTTTCTGTAAGAGTTTTTGTAATTTCATTTCTGTGTTTATTACCAGCACTGTGTCATCTGCGTATCTTATGTTGTTAAGATTGTGGCCGACAATGATAAATCCTGGTAGGATTTCCAGTTCTCTCATAATTGGTCTTATGTATAAGCGTTCTTCTTTTTCTTTTTTCTCTAAAACCTCATCGTTGCTCACATGTTTGCTTCATCGCAGCCACAGCATCTTTCTGTAGAACCAAATTTCTGTTGCTTCAAGTTTCTTCTTCATCTGAGACATATCATGTGACAGTTTAGTACTCTTTTCTTTGTTTCTAACGAAAATTTCCTGTCTCTTAATACTCTACTTAGCTTTTGGAACGCACTTTTACCATCCCAATACATCTGCGGATCTCAGTGTCTTACTTTTCGTTCTCTTTTAGAACACTTCTGATATATTTCAATTTCTCTACATGTTTGATTTTAGTATCCATGACTTTTATTTGCATTTTGCTGATAACCATGCATTATGTCTTCGTTTTGTTTATACATAGTCTTTTCTTCTATATTTCCTTCGCTACTTTCAGTAGGAGCTTCATAGTATAATTTCAGTAGCTGCTATCAACACTGTGTCCTCTGCGTATCTTATATCGTTAAAATTGTGGACGCCTGTAATTAATCCTGGTAGGAATTCCAATTTTCTCCGATTAACAATTCCGAGCCACCGGTTACACCGCCTGCACACCCAAGCTTACAGCACCTGGTATTCCCAAACGGTTACCCATTTAGGTACTGACCCGGCTCAATGTTGCTTAACTTCTGTGATCGTACAGGAACCTGTGTTTTAAAGCGGTGTGGCTCGGAGTCCTTTAAACGAACCTCAAATTTCAATAATCTTTTCTTTGTTTCTGACGAATTTCTTCCTTCTCTGTTGAGGGGTCCACCCCTGTTTATATAAATGAATTCACCCATTATATACATGCAAGAGCGAGACGAGAGTGAGAGAGAGCAAGACCGAGGACAGAGTCGAGTCCAGAGTGACACAGTAAAAGGTTGTAGGTAACCGGAAGAGTGAGGGTGAGGTAAAAGCCTTGTAGGAGTCACAGTGAGCGAGCATGTAGACTCAGTAAGAAGTCATAGAGCAATACTTCAATACCAAAGACTGTATATATATTTTGCTACTAACCCGTATTCCTGGAACTACTAACCTGCTTTACCAGTTTGTATTATTACGTTAATACATTATTTTCATAAATTCATTCCTGGCATTTGTTATTTATTGGTACCGGATTTCAACCCGGAATCCACAACATTCTCTAAATACGCTGCTTAGCTTTTGGCCATCCTAATTCGTATTCGGATTTCAGAGTCACAGTTTCCCTCCTCTGTCAGAACACTTCCCACATATTTAAATTTTTGTACTTGTTGATTTTAGTATCCCCGATTTGTAATTTGCATTTTGCTCTCATCCTTTTCCTGAAAACTATGCATTCCTGTAGTTTAGAAGAAAGAAGTTTAAAAAGAAAGAACTATATTTCTTTCTTCATTTCCTTCGCTATTTCAGTAGGAGCTTTTGTAGTATAATTTCCGTGTCTGCTATCAATACTGTGTCATCTGCATATCTTATATCGTTAAGATTGTGGACGCCAATGATTAATCCTGCTAAGAGTTCCAATTCTCTCCGATTAGCAACTCCGAGCCATCCGTTACACCAACTGCACACCCAAGATTACAGCACCTGGTATTCCCAAAGGGTTACCTATCTAGGTTCTGAACCGGCTCAACGTTGCTTAACTTCTGTGATCGCACAGGAACTGGTGTTTAGCCGTCTAGTTTATGCTTAGTCTCTTCTTCTTGATCTTGTTCGTCACTTTCTGTAGGAGGTTTTGTATTTTCCTTTGCGTGTCTGCTATCAGAACTGTGTCATCTGCGTACCTTCTGTAGTTAAGATTTTGGTCGCCAGTGATGAATCCTGGTTAGATTATCAGTACCCACAGAATTGTCTCGCTGTATAGGGGTTATATGTTCGTGTGGGAGAAGTCTTCTGTTTTTGTTATAGCTGAGTAAACATAGGTTTCTACATCAAAACTGACAAATATGACAAATGTTTTTTTTTTTTTTTGTTTGGATTGAAACTTGCGTGGCATCTTTAATCAACGGGAAATATATTCCAACAGGCCGTACCATCTACTGGAAATAAACATCTTGCATGTGGATAGAGAACAATTATAATACGCGCGCAAAACACAAGAGTCGTTTTTCTTAATCAACCTTTGACAGTGAGTCGGTCCTTATAGGATGACGAAGTAACCAAGATGAATTATAAATGAACATCGACTTAAAGTATCAGATAAGCAGTTTAACAATGTGCTGTTGGAGGACACATAAACAAACCTGAATGGCAGTAGAAGGAAAGAAATAACCATTAAGAATGTGTGGATGTCAACAAATGCTAGCAACGTCCCTGGTTTATATAGGAGGATTCTCTTTTCGTTTTTCGATGTATAAGTGTCCAGCAATTCAGCTCTTAGAACTAAACACCCAGTCTATCCGCACATATGACTTGATTATATTGATGAAGGCTTGTGCAGCTGATACCACACTTTTTGAAAGAGTCGAATGCAGATAACTGGTGTACAGTGTATCACAAGTTCAGCAAACAAGCCTAGTCCTGGGTATGACGATAAATTACGTCCGGCATTAGAACCTCTTTTTAGGTGATTTGTGGTTTTGAGAAGCGTGCAACGACCTCGTAATTGCTGTTGTTCCCAGCTTCACTCTGCTTCATGGTGGTAGCAACAGTTAGGGTACCAGCTATGGGCAAATACTGAACCTCAAAACAAAAACAAATCATTATGAAAGTATAAAAGTACATTTTTATTCCAAAACAAATATCTAGCAATTCATTATATATAAAAAATGACCAAAATACATATTTATAGTAAAAATATCAACAATGCATTTTATCTGTAGTTGAAGGCATACAACTGCGTTCAAATATATATTTAGTTGAAGGTATAAAATTGTGTTCAAAATGTTTAGATTTCGACATTAGAGGTCGATTTGCCGCTAAATAATATCAACCAAAATGAAAGGGCTATTTCTTGACTTTAATCCATATAATATCCGGCAATTTGTTAAAGGAATTAAACTGTATTCCAAAATATAACTTCCAGAAAGTTACAACATAAAACGCATATATCAATGCCTCTAGTATTTATATCCACACACACACACACATGTATATGTACAAAAGCTGAGTATCATCTACCATGTATGCAATTGTAAAATAAGAAGGTCATATATCATATTTTATTTCTTTAAAGCTCCCAAGAAAATTCCATTTCTACATTAAATAATCCACAAGGACTTCATAGGCCGTTAAACAAACAAATTAATCAACCAACCAAACGAGCTTCCTCAAAGCGACTTCTTCATACAATTCATGCACATGCTCGCAGACACACATACACACACATACATATATATATATATATATATATATATATATATATATATATATATATATATATATATGTGTGTGTGTGTGTGTATAGTGATTCCTTTCCTGAATGAAATATTTAATTCCCAATTCAGCATGCACGACTATATAATTAAAAAATATAAAGAAAACGGTTAAATTCAAAAATTATTATTTAAAATAAATAATACAGAAATTAATCTCAAACTAAAATAATATAAATAATAATTGCGTTAACAAAAATCAACAAATATATCATATGTAATATTTCTCGTTTATTAGACATTAAATTAATAGCATCCTCCATAATTGACCTTTACTTTTTTAGAGCTTGAAGTATATTTATGACAGTTATTAAATTTAGAAATTTCTGAAAACTAACGACATTTTCATTTTGTGTAAAATTTTTGTTGCAAAATGAAATCGTTACATTTGCTTTAATAAAAAGAAAACGCGTCGGCTAAGATACATTTTCCTTTTGTCGTTATTCATGTTCTCTTTTTAGGTATATCTGAGTTTTACATATAACTTAAAGTATACGTGTATTTGGCGCAAGTCGCAATATTTTATACTATCGTCCATTTCTGGTCGGATAAACATGTGGTGAGAAATAACTAACGTATTTTAATATATATATGCTTAATTTCGTATCGAAAAGAGTTTTATTAAATTCAAAAGCTTTTTTAAGTTTTTACTGCATATTCAGAATTCACGTAAATATTTTGTACATCGGTATCAACTGTCCGAATTAGTATTATTTTTAATATCCAGACGTTTCAATTTTTATCAAGACCCCTATATTAGAGAAGATTACCCTATATTATTATAGACAAGATGCACCATGTCTCATTATAGAGATGCAATTTTAATCATTCCAAAATGATGTCAGGTGCAACACTTAAAATGGTTAAACAGCACCGAGTAAAAATTTGTCAAATAATTTTTGGCTTTTTTAAAAAAATATTTTTATGGCCATCTTCCCATGCGGTGAACAATATTTTATTTAATGTAGTTTATTACATTTGTAAAATAATGGCTTCAAGGATTTTGTACCTTTTCTCGCAAGGAGAATTCGATAGTCTTTTGTTAATACCTACTGATATATGTCTTAAGTTGATAGTTATCTTTTATTTATTTTTACATGATTTTTTAAAAGGTTTCTGCAAGGGACAAGTCAATCTACGAGTGGTTATAGTATATATAAACCCAATGTAACCATTTAATTTTGTTTTTTAATGATTGATTTTGGAGATGCAATCTTAGAAATCATAAACATTAGTTTTACTATGATTTATATTACATCATGAGATCCCATGTTTTCGTTAATAATTAGGTTATATCTTTTGAACTTTTTCAATAAAAAGTGATGCATCTAAGAAATCCGTTGTGACCATTATTTAATATATAAAAGCGAATTATATTTTAATATATGTTCCATCTTGTTCATCGTTTATGTGCATTCTAATTATTTTTTATTTGAACATGATATATGCTTTTGAAAATATATTGCAAGTGGACATAAGGAAAATGACCCTCATCTTTTATTTCCGTAAAAAAAGCAATATTTTCAGCGAGAAATTTTAACCGACCCACAAATCAATGATTCTATCAGTCATTCACCGTCTCTGCAAAGCAAGATCTTGGCAAATATTTGGGAAATGATAGACATCATTTCGATGCCTGCTGATAACAGATCAAAACCCGTTTGTGATCAGTCTTTTGAACGGGAATGTATCAGTTCTTTGTCTAATCCGCGATCGCCACTATTAACAGCAAGATAATTCACCAGGTAAATCTGTGCTTATTCGAAAGCCATATTCGAAAGCCACCCTATAACATCTATTTTGCTTTTTCTTTTAAAGTGACCTCTTTTGCTTTTGTCTACAGTTCTTATTTTCACCCACTTCGGATTCTCTTCTGGTAATTCCATCTCCTTGTTTGTACTGTATCCTTAATACCTAAAGCCTTTGTAACCTTCTAATCTTTTGCTTTGAAAAGCAACTACAAATGTCTTTCAAACTTGCTACGGAAATTCTTCACCTGCATCCATCTTAGAATCAGCAGGAACGCATAAACAATTACGTGAGAATAAAAAGAAATCTCTATAAAAATTGTTTTTGAAGTACTTTTGGCCAAGAGAAAATTAGTTTTTTTTTTCTCTTCCATTTTTTTTTATTTATAAACCCGCTAAATTCCGTTTTATATTCCAGTACAATCATTCTTTTTTCATGATACAACATGAAACTTCCTTCTTATATTTTCATTGCAATATATAATCAGAAATGTGCATTTTTTTCTAAGATAAAGCAGCAGTTTTAATAAATTCTAAACTCAATGTTGGCCATGATATTTCTCCATCTGGCTGAGTTTTATAAATACAAGTACATAATAAAATAAGTACACGCATAAAAAAGAATCCTACGAAGGGTTTTTTTTCCGGAAGCCTTGAGACATTTTTTGTAGAGGCATTTCGAACTGTCCTAGATTATAGTAATTTTACTATGTCATGACTTAGCATCTAATAAGATGGCTTACCAAATTTTGTTCTTCCAGATTGAAGGAGACGATTGTAATAGGTCTTCGAACACACTTTAATAAAAAAAAAATCTGTTTGTCACGGTTGCAGTTTTTTGGGCATATGTTTACTAGTGAGCTAGCCTAAATGAGTTAACTCATTTTATAGTCCACCAAAAGAAGGTTAACCAATCAGAAGACGTAGAATATACAATCCGTCGTGTATAAAGGCGGCCATTTTGTTTACTCTCTCCGAATGTCCAGTGCCAACTTGTCAGGCTAAAGAAGAGAAGGAAGAACTACTGAACTACGCTCTGCTATTTTACCGGGATATCCACTATTAACCTGAACAACGCTTCCCTACTGTCTTCGAAATATTCACTGCTAACCTCTGGATTCTATACTCAAAGACGACCGTCATCATGAACAACAGTCACAGCTAACTAGTTTTCAAAATGCAATCAATTTGGAGATTCGTTATGGAATAAAAGTATTTGTTTGTATCAATTGGGATCTTTGCTCTTGCTACAGCCCAGATATTGCTCGGTTTCATTAGGCTGTTATCTGAACTAAAGGGGAACCATAGGTTCATGTTTTGAAGATACTGAGAAGATAAAGGAAGTTGTAACAAATGTTCTGGACTTTCGTTAACTTCTATGGTGTTTTAGGGATACAAACGGCAATTGTCTCTCTTTCGTTGAGATAGTGACGAGGGTCACGTGACGGCCATTGAATGGCGTCAAGGAATAAACTGACGAAGACCAGTTTCGAAGTAGAGCGCAGAGAAGAATGATATCCCTAGACCACAACGGTAGGTCTTATAAGAAAG